GTCCCCCGTTGTGGGGAGATGGGTGGGGACAAGTCAAATAAATAATAAATAATAATAATAATATCTAGTTTCAGGAGCTAGAGCCAGTGCTATTCAAGAACCCTTTGTACATTCTAAAGCATCTTTTTGCCTTCGGGTTCAAAGTACTGCACGGCCCTGTTGTTTACTTCCATATGCTCCTGCATGTGATTTTCCTCCAATATGTAGTTTGGCAAGGAGAGGCGAACCCTGAACCAAAGTTCCTTTGAATAGCTTCCCTCTTTCGTGGGACCATTTGTACCCTGCCAGGGTATGGAGTTGATAATGAATGAGTTACAAGGTATGGACAATCTTTAAAAATATTTGTGGGATGGGGCTTATTTTAAAGACCCTAGGATTTGCCTAAAGTCTCTTGCCATTGGCTCAAACAGCAATTTGCCTGCTCTCAGCTGTTCCTGGTACAACACTTTCTTGATTTGGTATTTTTCCTGGGAACAGGTTACCTGAAGCCACACACTGTGAAGAATAATTTAGTGGCTTCAGCTGAAACACCAACGAAGCATAAAGAAAGATCCTTGTCCACTTCATCTATAAAGGTAAGACACCTAGTTCAAAATTAATAATATTTGTCTGATACTGTAGTCCAGTGTTTCTCAACTTTGGCAACTTGAAGATGTGTGGACTCCAACTCCCAGAATTCCCCAGCCAGCAAAATTGACTTTTGCTGTGTGATCCCAGTATATCACTCAAAGGCCAAGGACAGTCCTCACCATTAGAAAAAATTGCACATCTAGATATTTTTGGAGAAAAGATGAGACGCTTTTATGCATAAAATAGACATAAAATGTATATCTTATGTGCAATAACAACTCCACAAAATTTTCAACTTTGATAGAAATAATTTTACTTATCTACAAGCAAAACAAGGATAGAGCATCATTTAGGTTTGCTGGCTGGGGAATTCTGGGGGTTGGAGTCCACACATCTTCAAGTTGCCAAAGTTGAGAAACACTGCTGTAGTCTAATCTTGGTGGCTTGGGAATCCCTCCTTTACAAATTCAGCCGTGCACTGTTATGAAAAGTCCTTAAGTTCATTAGTTTGCTAGTTCAAATTCTACTTGAAAATCCATAGAAGTCTCTTTCCAGTCTCAAGTTAAGTGGAGACTTCTCAGCACCTTGTCCCAAGGAACCATAAAGAAAATTACTGACTTACCAGCTGTTCCCAAGAATGCTACCAACCAGATGAACTTCATGTTGTCTTCCTTCCTTCCTCGGTAGACCAGAAGAGTTGCTGTGCATATTTATTTTGTGGGACCAATATTATCTTTACTCCAAGGATTTAATCAAAAGGAAAAATACACACTGGAAAATAAAAACCTTGTGACCTTGATCTCATTCAATAACAGTTGGAGAGGAAAGATGTTGTTCACATGAATTTTCCCCTTACCTTGATCTTACAATTTAATAATGCCATTGTTAGATAAATATGGTGGAAACCTAAATGATACTCTATCCTTGTTTTGCTTGTAGATAAGTAAAATTATTTCTATCAAAGTTGAAAATTTTGTGGTTATTGCGCATAAGATATACATTTTATGTCTATTTTATGCATAAAAGCGTCCCATCTTTTCTCCAAAAATATCTAGATGTGCAATTTTTTCTAATGGTGAGGGCTGTCCTTGGCCTTTGAATGGTATACTGGGATCATACAGCAAAAGTCAATTAACCCAAGACAAAAACTCAATTTGATTTAATTTAAATAAAAATGAAGCAAATTGGGTGAATATGATTACTTCAAGCTCCAACGGACTTGCAAAAACTCAAAATTCTACTCTCTAAGAACATTCTTATGAATAGATGCTACCAGGTGTTAGGGTATAAAATAAAACCAAGACTTAAAAAATATTCAGTTTGAAAAATTGGGATTTATTTTATTTGCCTTTTTATTTATTTATATCACTCATACATACATATGGTTTATAACTATGGGCTCCCAATGACTCTGGGTGGTTTACAATTAGAAGTAAGGGGGGGAAAGTCACAAACAGCCTGAAGGTGAACTGAGGAACCAAAATATCTTCCAATTGGACGGGCTCAGCCATCGTCGTGCCCCAAAGCCTGGAAGAACAGCCGGACCTTTACTAGCTTCTTGAATATCATCACGGTAGAAGCCATGCAGATCTCTGGGGATGATCATTTCAGAGCTTCCTGGGCCTTGCTGGATGACATACCTTAATTGCTGGGACCCAGAATGCGGGTTACGTAAGATTTACCCTGTTTGTCTAGAGAAACTCTCGTGACACGTGTGTTCAACAAAGAAGTTTACTCAAGCGTAATGTACGCAATTACAAACAAAGCCAGGACTGGCTTGGCACATCTTGTGGTACAATTTATAGTTCTCCCCTTCCCGCATTTTGCCCCGTTGCTATGTTACATATTACAGATTGCAGATTATAGATTGACCCCAGTAATCCCCCCTTTTACTCGAATGGCAGGTTCAGCCCAGTTCTTATTGTCCCTTGATTGCTCTGCCCTGCCGGCGTGGTCGTGGTTCCTCTTGGTACTTTCAGTTGCGCGCAAAGCCGAGGTTTTTCAAACGCGTGCTGATCGCATTTCCGCGAGCCGCGGTTCTGCCCTTTGTCTCGGCTCTCGCGGCTAATCAGTGTTGATACAAAACATCCACTCTGCGGTTTTTTGTTAAGCGGTCCCAGGTGGCTCATTAATCAACCGCGGCTTTCACTTCCTCTTTTCCCCGGCTTGTGAGCGGGCGGTAGAACTGACTCAGTGCGGCTGGGCAAAAACTAGCCGTGCCACGCTGGTGGAACCTGACATAAACAGTATATTGATGATTTATAAAAAATGCTGATCAAAATTAAAAACAAAAACTGGAAATTTTTCCGTTCAGCAGAGTGCCAGAAACTGAGAAGTTACCAAATTGCTGATTTTGGTCATATCTCTGGTTAAATGAGTCTAGAGATTTTACAGATGAAAACCCCAACTGTACTGAAACGTTTGTGTTTAACTTCAGTGTGGAATCAGCTTTTCTGTCCATTACATCTAATACAAAAGAGAAAAAGTAAATTTTCTGAAATCTAAAGTTTGTTCTT